AGAAAGAAAGAAAGAAAGAAAGAAAGAAAGAAAGAAAGAAAGAAAGAAAGAAAGAAAGAAAGAAAGAAAGAAAGAGGAAGGGAGAGAAAGAGAGAAAGAAAGAAAGAAAAGAAGAAGGAAGAGGGGAGAGAGAAAACTCTGTGCTATTATTTGTAATTGTTCCATTATTTATCATATATTAATATTTTGCACAGTCCCTACACCTAGAGTGATTTTACTGCCTTTCTTTTGCCCAGGTATTTTTCAGGGTTTACATGTCAATAGTCCAGAGCATAAATATAGGTGCGTTTAACAGAGTTGAAAGGGATTATGGAGGTCTTCTAGTCCAACCCCTGCTCAGGTAGGAAAACTCTAGGGATGCCAAAATCTGAATAGAGGTCCTGGGAAAGGTGTCAGAATAACAGAATAACACTTAGAAAGGTATCTTGGGGGGAACTCTATACCATTTCAGAGAAATGGCTGTCCTGTCTTTTGTTAAAAACTTCCAGTGTTGGATCACCCAGAACTTCTGGTGGCAAGCAATTCCACTGGTTAATTGTTCTCACTGTCAGGAAGCTTCTCCTTACTTTTAGGTTGCTTCTCTCTCTGTTCAGTTTCCATCCTTCTGCTGCTTTGGAAAATACATTGACCCCCTCTTTCTGGCAGCCCCCTAAAAGCCTGTTGCCTATCATCCTCTTGGGCAAAGCATGTGAGCCATTTCCTCCTTTCAGTGGTCCAGGAAAGTACATCTATAGTACGTAGATAATAAAATCAAAAAAAGGTGAACAACATTTTTACAAACCTATAGATATGTTGAGGCTGGGTATGCCAAGGAATGGCTGGGAGGGGAGGGGAGGGGCCAGGTGAGGCAGCCCTTTATGTGAGTGACATTGAGTTGGCCATACCCACCCAGTCACATGATCACCGAGCCATGTTAGCTAGTCATGCGACCACCAAGCTATGCCCACCCAGTCACATGATCACCAAACCACGCCTACCCAGTCACATGACCACCAAACATGGCCACACCAGTCACATGGCCACCAAATCATGCCCACCAAATCACATGACCCTAAGCCATGCCCACCAAATAAACCACGCCCACAGAACCGGTAGTAAAAAAAAATGATCCCACCACTGAAGGCAAGCATTTGTGACCTGATTGTGACGTCCCCACCCCCACTCACCGCAATTCAACACTTCTCAGAAAAGCTAGAGTTTGGGACCTCAGCTGGCATATAATTCTGGAAAAATGTATTTTCAGAGATGGTAAATTTGGAAATTTGCCATGCAATAGTAGAATTAGCCCATAATGGACGATAGTGGAAGAATTGTTCTTATGTCATTTCCAAGATTTATTCTGCATGCAGTAAGTCCAATTATATGAATATTTATACTTCTTTCTAATTATAAACTTAAATAAAAGTAGATAAAAGTAGGTGATATTAGCTCATCAACAAGTTTCAGATTTTGTTTTTAAAAAGAGAAGGAAAATGGATATGCATGTATAGATATTACATCACTGACAAACTGTAGTAAAGAAAAAAAAAGAGTCAAAGGAGAAATAACCACCATTGTGATTATTTGGGAACCCAATTCAACACAAACAACTATTTGTTACACTAATTACACTAATTTAAGTGCCTGTGCATTTTATTATTTTTTAAGGAAATTGCCTATGACTCTTTTGAGTTTCTCATAGAATAACCTGACATTTATAGGCCTAGCTACTTTTCAGAAGAAATAGTCAGAGTGTTGCATTGATTATGTGAATAAATATATATACAGGTTTAAAAAGGTTTTTTTAAGTAATCAATTTTTCTGATTGAAAATATCAATGAAAACTGCAAATTCTATGGAGGTACCTCTAAGTATGAAACATACCTAATTGTAAAAGAACAGGATAGTTTAAATTTAAAATTATATACTTATTTTTTAAGAAGGAGTTATTTATGAAGTTATACCCACATTTTTTTCTTTTTGAATACAACTGTAAATGACATTTGTAACCAAAAAGCTAAATAGCTCTATTCAGGCATGATAAGATTGAGAAGAGGTAAGTGTAATTCAGCTGACACTAAGCCTGGCAGACATCTCGGTCAAACAACATCACAAAGGAAAGCTTCTTGTAATTGTTCACCATTTAAGCAATATGATATTATCATATCAGAATAGGCCAATATCTTTTCTCCAAAGCATTGTTATTTAAAAAAAATGTTGCAGATGAAACAATGCCTGTAACTGGAAGATTCCCCTGTCAGTCTTTTTTTCTCCCTTCTGCTAAATTAGTTTAAAGGGTGGTGGGTTTTTGGTTTTGGTTTTGTAAGGAAGAAAGAATTACAGTTTTGTCTTCTATTATTTTCAGAATATAAATTACTCACTCCTAGTAGCAACCTCAACAACTCTCTGAAGATAGAGGAAACCAAACTTGATATATACTACCAAGAGTCAGAAAAGGTCACTTCAGATTTTTGAGATCTGTATCAAAACAAATTTAATTTTTTTTAACAAAAATTAAAAATGCTAACCCTTGAAAACAAGAAAGCACAAAAAGGGTGAAACATAATAGGAATATTTTAAATAAAATAACGAGCAAGGATCTAAATTGAGACTTCCTTTATCTCCTTCATTAGTTTCAATTCAAATGTGTTTCTTCAGGTCATTTTTGACTTCCCCGTGCAATATTCTTGCCAGCATTTTCAAAAATTGCTTCCTCTTGCTCTAAAATCACCAGTTTGCCTTGAGATTGACTAGAACTCAAGTTCTCCTATTCTGACTTTAACCACGATACCATTCCCACCCCCCAAAGGGACATAAACATTTTCCTCAGAAAGGCCCATAGGAGGAATAGTTGCATTTAGATTCAGTGTCTATAATCCTGTAGCATTTCAAGGGATAAAAAGTCCATATTGTGTGTGAACTTTTTATCCCTTACAATTGAAATGACCATCATGAACAGATAGTCTGTATGCTGAATCTCCCAGTTTGTAAATTGTAAATGGAATTCTCACTGCCTTACTTACGGTAAGTGTCTGAGGCAAAGAGGAAATACCAAAATAATCCAAATAATTCAAATAAATCATAGGTAGACATTGACTTACCAATTGTTCACTTAGTGACCATTCAAATTTACAACAGTACAGAAAAGAAGTGACTTATACCATTTTCCACACTCATAACCACTGCAGCATCCACATGGACATGTGATCAACATTCAGATGCTTGACTCGTATTTATGACAGTAGTGTCCCAGGATCACGTGATCCACTTTTTGCAACCTTCTGACAAGCAATGGAAAATCAGATTTACTTATTAACAATAGTACTAACTTAGCAACTACAGTGATTCATTTAACAACTCTGATTGAATCACGAATCACAATTAATTGCATCCATATACTACATAAGCCAAAATTAAACAAATCAAATAACGGTTTAATGAGATGTGAGAACCTAGCCAGTAATTTATCCTTCTGCTATCCTCCAAGAAGAAAAACAATAACCTGACTCTAAATGTACTTATACAAACAAAAACAGATTTAAAAAAATAGGGATAACGAGAATGACTCAAACTTCCAGCCAGCAAGTGTACGCTGGCTCAGCACTTTCAGGCTGCCAAGCCCAAATTGGAAGAAGAACATTTTATTTTTCTCCACCCTTTATGCGCTCAGAACACTGTTGTTTACAGCAAATGATCACTATTGCCATACAATAGTTTGGTTTCTATAGAAATCAAGCTGAATTCTTTTAACCTAACTTTTAAAAATGAATAAATGTTAATTTGCTGAAAAAACAAAATTGCTATAGCTTTGAGTTGCTCAATGGCAAAACTTTTACTAGTAAAATAAATCATTAAAAACTCTCCACCATCATTTACACATTGTTCAAGCCATATAGAAACTATTTATCCCACAATAAACTATATTTGTATAAGTTTCTTCTTTATTTATTTAGTGTATGGCAATATACATTAGCCAGGAAACCCCAGTGTTAATACAGACTAGTTATTTGGCTGCCTAAAACTGCTAGTCTGTTAGGTTCACTGTCACATATTCTCCTGGGGATGTAGTAACTCTCTGCTCAGAATGTCATCTGTTGCTTTTTCCCTCCAATGATTTCACTTTGAATTTAGGCAGGTTCAGTGCCAGTTGGATTTGTACTTAGAACACAAAGCATTTTTTCCATCAAAGTGGTACCTTTTTATTGATTTGCATGTAGCATGCTTTTGAACTGCTAAGTTGGCAGAAGCTGAGGCAAGTGACAGGAGCTCACTTCCTCATGCAGTACTAGGACTGTCGTCTTCTCTTTAAATCCCTGAGCCATCATACCTCTTTTTTTCTTGTTGTAACTCAACAGATAGAGACAAGCTTTTGGTCATCCCAATTCCATGTAAACAACCTCATTATCAGTCCTCTTGTCCTCAACCCATTTTGGGCTGGTCAGACAAACTCCCCAAGTAGCTTCAGGGAGAAGAGCAAAGGAAGCCATGTAATTAATTAGATTTTCTTTCAGCAGACAATTTCACATTAGAGGCACTTCTGAATTTATTGCTACTCTGAGAAAGAAGGAACTTTAAGTTTCCTTCTTTGTTAGCAGTTTTCTAGACCTTGGGTTGTAGCTCTCAAGTCATCATTTGGGAATAAAGCACAGGTTTTTTTTTAATATTTCCTTTAAAAATAGCAATAGTAATAGCACTAAGACTTATGTGCTACTTCATAGTGCTTTAAAGCCTTCTCTACATGGTTTACAGAGTCAGCATATTGTCTCCAGCAATCTGGGTCCTCAGAAGGATGGAAGGCTGAGTCAACCTTGAGCCTATCAGGATCAAACCCCAGGCTATGGGCAGAATTAGCCTGCAACACTGCATTTCAACTACTGAGCCACCACTCAAATCCAAGTTATTAGGCTGTGAGATTTAATTGATCCCCTTGGAAAAGAAAAAAAAATCCTAAAAATAACTGTAGTTATTGCATCAAAAATATTACCATATTAACAAAAACATTATGTTTCTTTGTTTCCCTGATGTGTATCTATAGCTGGAATTTGGTCACAGTCAAATAATTTGATGAAACAAATTTGACTGCTTTTTTAGCCAGAATGAATTAATTGTTAGGTTGTTATATTAAAACCAGTGACCGCCACATAGTACACTTGGGCAAAAATGTATGCACCAGGCTTTTTTTTGCACCAGTATTTTTAAAAATAGTATTAAAAATTGAAGTTTGCTGCAAAGTAAAATCTCAGCTTCCAAAGCATTCTTATAATCTATGGTTTTCTGGCAAAGATGCTCACAAGAAATTTCAAATTTCTGTGTCTGACCACTGATACCATAATAGTATTTATGTGATCTCTAAGAACTGGACATAAACTTGATAACACATAATCAATTTTAAAAATGCTGATATGCTTTATATCCCAAACAAATGATGCAGCCTTCAAGTAGCTCAACAATAATATTTTATTGTGCCGAGAACAGTGAGGGCTGACAACTTTACATCAAAAATTTTCTGAGTGATCTGCTGTCTTTCCATCAGCAATAGATTTTTATGCTGACTTTTTGGTGTTTGTCAGTAACAAACAGCTAATACTAATGCTAATCAAGGTAATTATAATAGCTGTCCAAGAAGAAAAGAAGTACTAATAAGAATTTAGTCAATTGTCATTTCAGATTTTCATTAATTCTGTTATTTGTCATTTGCTTCTATCTTTTGACTGAGGACAATTATGCCAGCTGCTATTTGAATAGAGGCTGTCCAGCTACATTTAAATAGATTTTGTCTTCATTAGCACTTTGTGTATATTCATCTAGAGAGGGTTCTTTTATACTGTCATTAAGCAATCCCAATTCATGCTATCATTCAGAGTGTTAAAGGAAAATATTACAGATGTCTTACAGTTTTAGAAATTATTTCCTCCATTTGAATCCCATTTTTAAGTCTCCCTCAATTAGCTCAAAACACATTAGCCAAACAACAATTTTAAATGAAGATGTAATTCTTTCCTATCTTCATAAGTGTTTGCGTTTTGCACTGTTCTGACATTAATTGTTTCTTTTTTAAAAAGTTATATTAATTTAAAATTGGAAATGATAGAATATTAACGATTCCTGCATATGTCACCCCAATCTGCTCAGAGCAAAATGTATAATGGTTCATGTAAAATAAAGTATTATAGTACCGGTAAGAAAAATAATTTAAATGTTTAAACATTTTTCCAAAATTGTCAATTCTCAGTCATATGGAAGTTTAATTATATATGCTTGGTTGACATGTTCAAGAGACAAATTTATTTATTGTAATATTACCTTAATATACTACTCCATGTTCAGATCAGTAGTTCAGATCACTTCTCTGCTTTCAATAAAATTTATGCTTTTAGTTTAGCACTCTCAACTCAGAATTTGAAAAAAAAATGAAATTCAATTGATTGTCATTCGTATTGTTTGTGCTAATGAGCCATATGTTCTCTTCAATGTTCTAAGCAAATATTTATTATAGCATGTTAAAAGCCCATATATGCCCCTTACTTTTTACAACCAACTTACAACAGGCAACAGCACTTACATTGTTCATCTGATCTTGAAAAATCTGTACAGGTAGCCCTCAATTTACGACCACAATTGAGCACAAAATTTCTGCTGCTAAGTGAAACACTTATGCCATTTGCCCTATTTTACATTTCTTGCCACAATTGTTAAGTAAATTCCTGCAACTATTAAGTTAGTAATATGGTAGTTAAGTAAAGCTGGATTCCCCATTGACTTTGCTTGTCAAAAGGTTATAAAAAGGGATCATGTGGCCCTGGAACACTGCAACTCTCATAAATATGAGTCAGTTGCCAAGTGTCCAAATTTTGATCCTATGACCATGGGAATGTTGCAATGGTAATAAGTTTGAAAAATGGTCATAAGTCACTTTTTCCATAGTCATCGTAACTTTGAATGGTCACTAAATGAACTGTTATAAATCAAGGATTAGAATGCAATTTAAGATACAATTTACTAGGAAATTTCAGGGAAAGTTGAAGGCAAAGGATTTATGTATGGTAGCCAGGAAAACATATGAATATGTCCCTGTTTCCATCAGGAGTTGAGGTTGACTATAGGGAGACTTTCTTTAATGAAAAATAGACAAGATCAGTACTACATCCAGAGACATACTTTTTTATATACAATTATACACACACCATGCAATACCATGCAAGGCAGGTTTTTTTAGATATAATCTGTAAAACGGCATGGTCCAAACAATGCTGCTCCTTTCAGAAATGCTATTGCAAGCTATATGGCTTGAGAATTTCAATCTACAACCAAGATATAGCATACTTAAGAGGAGGATTGTGGTGGTCTCCCATGGAAAGAATGAGACACAAGCGCGTGTACTTGAGATGGGAGCCTAGAGCAAATTCCAGTGCTCCCTTTTATTGAGAATTTTGTACATAGTAAGCATTCACATTGTGGATTACAATAATTAGATATAGTACACAGAATTGTTTACAGTTGTTTGAGCTGTTTAATTGTTTCTGGTGTTTGCTTTTAATTTCCTTGCTTTATCTCAGTGACCTTTAGGCAGACATGTATGTATAAGGTCTTAGACTAATCATTACCCAATACTCAAGTCAAAGTTTATTCCCACATCTCCCCTGTTTTAGTTTTTTGATGATCGCGGATGCCTCAGTAGCTTTTCGCCATCTGCAACAACAGTTCTCCTTCCGTAGGCTTCACCCGAAACATTCCTAAAAGTCCAGGGAGACATTGGATACAACAGCATACACAAAGAGAAAGTATAAAAAGCAATATCACTCCAACAATTAGGTGACGAATCCATGAACCATCTGGCAACCAGGACCAAAGTGCAGACCACACGTCCAGTCCCTCGTCCTCCGATTGTAATGGATTCTCATTCAGGGTTTGTTCCATATGCTGTATAGTAGCTGTAATGTTTGGAGAATAATCAGAGATATACATGCAACAATGCGTATGAATCACAGCGCAAACTCCCCCTTGCGCAGCCAAAATAGTGTCCACCGCATATCTGGTTTGCAGGACAAAGTCAAGGATTTTTCCTTGCTCTTCTTCAAGCAGCTTTAGCGTTTTAATGGTGTCTTTAAACATAGTAACTGTCCAATTGTTTAAACCATGTAAATATCTATAGTTCATCATGACTCCTAAAGGAGGAATAACTCCCCTTGATATCTGTGTCCAGTAGTCATGAGTCAAAACAGAGTTTACTTCCGTTGCAGAACGCGCATTGCGGATATGAGCAGTCCCCAATGATTTTTGAATGAAATGAGATGGGATTACTTTCCCAAAGGTGCAGACCCCTTTCCATCGTGCTGGCATGCGATCATAGGCCATCCGTCCACACAGCAACCATAGATTTGCTCCCAGGAGATGACCAACCGTATTTGGTTCAGCATAGATTAATTTTGCAAAGGACTGCATTAACATAGCCAAATAAGTGGATGGTGGTGCATATTTCCCATTCGCACATTTGTACAACTGGTTTTCTCTCGTGGTGGGACAACATGTGGCAGGAATATATGGACACCTATTTTCATTGATCAAAGATGTGATATCATATCGAGAAATGTTATGTACAAAGTAAGTGAGATTTTTAGTTTTCATGTCATTCGAATAAACCCAACTTCCATTGCTAATAACAATTGTTTTGTTGCAAAACGGATATGTCCCCAAGTAAGTCATATTTTCTACTGTCTCATTGTGGGTCCAGCAGATACCCGCCACCTCTTGGATTCGGCTTCCAAGGTGCAAGGTATTTATGTTACTTGTAGTCCAACTGTTAGACCACATCCCTGAACAACCATAGCATTGTCCCTTATACCAGTCACCTTCGGCCAGAGGTACTGCAACCATTGGAAACCCTGATGTTTTGTGAGTTGGCATGTGCATACATATCCAACAATCAGTTTTATTATGAAGGTTTGCTAGCTTCCCCATGTCCTGGATCAACGTGTTCCTTTTCCATTCCCCCAAATCCATCCCCTTGCCCCTTTGGCTGATGATAAGGACGCACACAGCGAGCAGGAACCCAAACAACTGTCCCCTCATCTTCAACAGCAGCGTATCCTCCGCCCCAAGTTATCAGTGGGACAGGTCCTCTCCACGTTGGATCTGGTAGTCTCCTATACCGAACTTTCGGTCTTGGCATACCTGCAGAAGGGGAGGAAGCAAAATGCCTACTGGCTGCCGTAGCAGCAGGAGATCCTGTCATGTTTAAAAAATTTAAAGTGTACAAGGTAATATTAAGAATGTTTTGTATGTAAGGCAAGCCATATCCATCCACTTCCCCCGTTTTTGTTTTTATGTGAAGGAGTGTTATACGGACTAGAAGTTGGCTCAATGTGGCCTAATTGTAGCTGCTCAGCTACCAATTGATGTAAAGCTGTAAGCTTTTCTTTTGAGAGTGGCCATTGGTCAATCCAGACTGGCTGAGAGGTTAACAATTGTAATTTTTCCATTATCCAATAACAATTTTTGTGCGAAATTGTGATAGCAAATCTCTACCCCACAAGTTTATATGCAGGGGCAACACAAGAGGTTGAATCCTTGCAGTCTCACCAGTTTCTCTATGCAATGCCTTCAACCAATGTACACTACTTCTTGCAAACTGCATACCACCCACTCCACAAACAGCTGGAGAGTCCTCAAGCGCCCATTCATTTGGCCATTTCTTTTGGCGTATCACAGAGACATCTGCTCCGGAATCTATAAGGCCAGAAAATGATTTTTCTTGAATTTCAATTGTCATTTTTGGTTGGTCTGTAGTCAAATTTTTTGTCAGCGCTAGCAATTCTGTAGCAACTGGAGAACTGGCCATTTCAGTGGACCCAAAACTGCCAGTTCGTGGGATCCCAATTAA